TTCTAACAACCTGCTGGAGGGTTAGCTACGAGTTGGTTCTGACTCAGTGGCATTCAGTTTTTTGAGCAGTTGTTTTAAAGTCTTATTGGCTATATTCACCATAATTAGACTGGCAAGGAAGGATTCACTTGTAACTATTATTTATGTGCAAAATTCAAAACAAGTAACAGCAAAAATAGGCTGTGTTAACAGTTATAAATAAAACTCAAACTCATTGACAAGTCAGAACTAACAGGCGCCCTTTCAGTGCTGTTTGGAGGCTATAAATCACATGGGAAGAGATCGCCCACCTTTGTTCTGTGGAGCTGCTGGTGGACCGTCACCTTTGAATCAGCAGTGCGACTCCCTGTGGTCTCCACCACCAGAGCTCCCCGTACAGTGCTACACACAGCTTAAATGGCGTAAAGATCTAAAAGTCAAAGACACAATAAAGGTATTTAGAAGAAAAACGTGTGAATATTGTCACTGGGAAGCACAAACAGTGGGGAGGGTAGAGAAAACATAAAAAGAAAAGATTTCTGTATGACAAAAATATGAAATGAAAATATAAATTATGGCTAGAAGACATTTGCAAATCATTCACAAGCCAGAGGTTTAACATCCAGAATGGAGTATTTCAAATCAGTAGGAAATGGCCAAAACACAATTAAAAAATTAATAGAGGAAATCACTAGGCAATATGGAGTAAACATAATAAATGGGCAATAAATGCAGAAAAAGACCAGTTTCTGTAGTTATCAAAAAAGAAAAATACAAGTTAAAACAACATCAAGAACACTACTGCAAGCCTATCAGATTGGCAACAGTTAAATAACCTCAAGTATTGGTAAGAATACAACTAAATGGTACTCTTACACATTACTAGTGGGAAATGAAAAAAAAATCAAGTATCTCACACTCCAATAGTTCTAGCTATTTATCTCAGAGAAATGCTCACACATCTTGCATGAATGCTTATTTCAACACTATTTCTAACAGGCAGACAAAATCTAACGGACTTCAGGAAGGGAAAGTCACTATCTGCAATGTTTTGCTTCCTTAAAAAAACAAAAACCAGATTAACACGTTTAATCTGGCAGCAAGGACTGTTACATGTCTTTCCTACACTTTTCTGCTTAAAATACTACACAATCAAAAGTATAGAAATTGGGGAATTAGTTTAACAAGCAATATTATCCTTAATACCTGTAATACATTAAAAATTAGGTATATTAGCACAAGTAACCTCAGGTAGTAGTAATAAGTAGTGATCTTACATAAAATTCTCTACAATCTAGTATATATTAAGGAAAAGCTTTTATTTGCTTCTGATTTGAAATTAGGAAATTGCAAAACCCTGACTCAAAAGCAAGAGTAAAAGGCCACAAAACCTATTCACTTTTTGTGAGAAACCTTTATTTAGATCAAGAGGCTACTGTGCAAACAGAGCAATGGAACACTACATGGCTTAAAATTAGGAAAGGCATAGATAGGTATCCTTTCTCTAGACCTACTTATTTGCTGAGCAAAATATTAAAAAAGAAGGTCTCTATGAATAAGAATGTGGCATCAGGATTGGAGGAAGACTCATCAGTAACTTCCTCCACCCCCCGCCTTGTTGTATACCGTAGAATAGGATCCAAATGGCACAGGAGATTGCCCCTTCTTTTCCAGTGGAATATTTTGTGGATTTGAACTGTGTGCCTTTGGGACTGCAGCACAGCTTCTTGTCACTAGGACACCAGAGGTCCCTTCTCATCAGTAACTTTCATTATTCCGATGATGCAATCTTGCTTGCTGAAAGTGAGAACTTGAAGCGCTTGTTGCAGAAGGTTAAAAACTGCAGGCTTCCATTTGGATTGCATCTCAACATCAAGAAACAAAAACCCACCCCACTCAACAGCCAACACGATAGATGGAGAAAATATTGACCATCAATGACTTCATTTTACTTCAGTCCACAATCAATACACTTGGTACCAGCAGCCAAAAGATCAGAAGACAAAGGATAAAGTCTGTAATCAGGGTCTCTCCAAATTACTGAAGAACAATGCTGTCAGTTTAAGGACTAAGGTGTGCCTGATTAAGGCCCTGGTCTTTTCAGTCACTTGCTGGACACAGTAGGATGACAGAACTGATATCTCTTAATTGCGGTGTTGCAGAAGAGTGCTGCATTATTTTGGATTGCCAAACGAACAGGTATGTCTTGGACCAAGTGCAGCCAGAGAGTTCGTTGGACGCAAAGATGAAGCTTCGTCCCACATACTTTGGGCATGCTGCTAGGAGAGGATATTCCTTGGAGAGGGCTATGCTTAGAAAGGTGGACGGATGATGCAGAGGAATACCCTCAACTAGGTGGATGGACATAGTGACTGCTGCAATGAGCCTGAGCGTGTCAGAGACTGCAAGGATGGAACAGGGTAAGTCAGGGTGCAGATTTGTTTTCAAAATGTCGTTATGAGTCTTATCTGATAGCACCTACCAACTACAATGTTGGAAACAACCTAATAACTACAATCTTAGAAACATTTGCCACCAGCCTAAAAACACCAAAACCTTTAGGGCTCTTTGAGATGTGTAAAGAGAGATCCACGTAATCCTAAAGTTTGCTGTTTTCTGACCAATAGCAGGCTTCCCAGGGTCCCATAGACTCTATGTTAACAATTTCAACATGAGAAGCTCTCAAATGCTAGTGATGGCAGCTAACAGTCATAGAAAGCCTACTATATGCTCAACACTGTCTTAAAGGACTTTACACTGAATAAATTCATCCTCATAAGTATTCTCTGAGGTCAGTCAGTACTCTTTCCATTTTTCAGATTAGGAAATAGAGGCATTTAACAGAGATTAAATTATAGCTAATTTAAATTATATAAAAATATAATTAGTAGGGAGCTCTGGTGGGTAAGGAGTTGACAGACAACCTGATGTCATGCAGTTCAAATCCACTAGCTGTTCCATATGAGAAAGATGGGCAATCTTTTTCAATGTGATGTACAGCTTCTGAAAACCAGCTGGAGGGTGAGCTAGGAGTTGGTTCCTCTAAACACAGAAGAATTCTCACTTTGCATGCAGGAGACGCAAACAGTCACCATTCTCAGTGGCAGAGTTTTGCATGATGCTATAATGCCGAACAGGTTTAATGAACTTCAAGACTAAGGAGGAAAGGCCTAGAAAACGGAAAACCAGCCAAAAACCGTACAACCATCATGAGGAGATAATGCAGTAAGTGAACTGTCCTTAGTCAGGGGCTGACTAGATGGCAGTTAACAACTGACCGATAATATTCACTGCTGTAAGTCAGAACAACTCACAGTGGACCCTTCATGGGGTCAGAGGCTGCCAATCACACAGAAGGAGAACGCCCATTTTTGTCTTGCAGAGGCGCTGGTAGAAATGAACCTCTAGAGTTTGGCTTTTGGGTTAGTTGTGCCCTAGGGCTCTGCCCACCAATGATGGTTCAAATTCAAGCAGTTTAGCTCGGCATACACTCTCAGGACAAGCATTTCTCAATGAGAAATCTTTGCTGCCTAGTAAAAAATAAAACAAAATAAAAACCAAACACCACCAAATGTTGATCAGGAAGACAACCTGAAAGTTTCAAGTACTTTTTAAAGTATTTTTTTCAGAGAGTCACCAAAGTATTTTTAGTCTGTTTTATCCCTGGCTAACCATTAAGAAACAAAAACAACTGTAATATTCTATATCTTGCTTTGAAAATTACTCCCATTTTTCATTGCTCAAGCTTCTCAGAGAAAGGGTTGGTTGGTTTTTTAAAAAATATAATAATCAGTGCACTCTTTCTTTCAACTTCTTTATTAGGATGGTTGCATTCTCATACTGACAGTTCTTGTCATGAACAAAAGCAACAAAAATAATGCAGTAGCCAAGATATGCTTCACATAAAACAATCATATTCCAAGAATAGATCTGGATCCCTGTACAACAAAAAGATCAGGAGGCAAAAATGTGAATGAGTCCTGCACTCAAAATATACTCACATATGTGTGCTAAGAATGTGCACCCATAATATAGCTCACATACGTTCCTTTGTTTACAATGCATAATTTTTTAATTATTCATTTGTGGAAATAATAATGAACATAAATATGAAATCTGATCACACTGGCTTTCAAAAAACTCCAAAAGAGCAACTTCATTGACTGTAAATGTTAAAAGCTTCAAAAGTACAATGCAATCTTAATTTTCTTTGACAAATGAATAGGGTCTGTCAAGAACCAATGGCTTATAAAGAAGATAATCTATGCTTAAGTAGCATGAATAACAAAGCAAAACAAGTATCACCAAGAGTAATGCCCACACATATCAAA